TGTAACCTGGCCAGAGTAAACTGGCATCTCCACAGGTTGGTCCTTTAGGTCCGTCTTGGGGTGGGACCCCAAGCCCTGCTGAGGGCTCCAGCCCCAGCAGGACACAGGTGGTCCCCCCTGGTGGGGGGAAGCCTCTGAACTTCCTAGGTGCATCTCCACAGGACACTTCAAGCCCCCTGCCCTCCCCAGCTCAGGCTCCTCCCCTGTTCATTTCTGGGGAGAACTCAGTGGAGGATATCCCAGACCTGGCTGGGCCCTGCTTCCTCCAGGGCCTCTGCCAGAATTGCAAAGTATGAGAGGTGACCTCCAGTGACCTTGGGGCTCATAGCTCACACTGAAGTGTAAGGTAGGTGAGGCTACAAAGGGACCCCCGCCACTCTGGACTTCCTGGGGATGCTCTGGCCTCAGTTTCCCTCATTTGAGCGACGGACAGCTGGTTCCCTGGGCCTCAAGACTGTCAGATGGGGGAGGGGCTCTGAGACCTCCGGGGCAGCGATAGGAGAAGGGAACAGATGGGGTCTCCCCAGGCAGAAGGAGGCCTGGAGAAGGGGCTCAGGCCTGGGAAGGGTAGGCTGGAGCTGAGCATTTGGCCTGAAGCCCCAGCCCTTTAGTGGGGCCCCTGAACTTAACCAGGAGGAGGCTGATTCTCCGTGAGGAGATGGGGGGAAGAGAAATTGCTCTCCTCTCCCTGCCCCCTCCCCCCAGTCCAGGCCTGACCCCCAGAAGGGGAAGGGAAACCCACCTTCCAGGAACCTGGAACTGGGCAAGCTGCTCTGAAAGGTTTACTATTACTATCATTATTGTTACTTTAAGAATTAAGAGAGGGACTTCCCTGGTGGCACAGTGCTTAAGAATCTGCCTGCCAATGCAGGGGACACGGGTTCAAGCCCTAGTCCGGGAAGATCCCACATGCCGCAGAGCAACTAAGCCAGTGTGCCACAACTACTGAGACTGCACTCTAGAGCCCACGAGCCACAACTACTGAAGCCCTCGCGCCTAGAGCCTGTGCTCTGCAACAAGAGAAGCCACCACAATGGGAAGCCCGCGCACTGCAACGAAGAGTAGTCCATGCTCACCGCAACTAGAGAAAGCCCGCGCACAGCAAAGAAAACCCAATGCAGTCAAAAAGAAATAAATAAGGGCTTCCCTGGTGGCGTAGTGGTTGAGAGTCCGCCTGCCGATGCAGGGGACATGGGCTCATGCCTCGGTCCGAGAAGATCCCACGTGCCGCAGAGCTGCTTGGCCCGTGAGCTATGGCCGCTGAGCCTGCGCGTCCGGAGCCTGTGCTCTGCAACGGGAGAGGCCACAACAGTGAGAGGCCCACGTACCGCAAAAAACAAATAAATAAATAAATAAATTTTTTTAAAAAAAAGAATTAAGAGAATAGGGACTTCCCTGGTGATCCAGCAGTTAAGACTCCTTACTCCCAATGCAGGGGCTGGGTTGGATCCCTGGTCAGGGAACTAGATCCTACATGCCACAACTAAAGATCCCGTGTGCGGCAACTAAGACCCGGCGCAGCCAAATAAATAAATAAATATTTAAAAAAAAAGAATTAAGAGAATAAATACCTAGAGTATAAAGTCAAAGGGTGCCCCAGCTCCAGTCCTCCCCCCAGAGGTAACACTGAAGTTACTTATACTCTTCCAGAAATTTTTTTTTTTTTTTTTTTGCGGTACGCGGGCCTCTCACTGTTGTGGCCTCTCCCGCTGCGGAGCACAGGCTCCGGACGCGTAGGCTCAGCGGCCATGGCTCACGGGCCCAGCTGCTCTGCGGCACGTGGGATCTTCCCGGACCGGGGCACGAACCTGTGTCCCCTGCATCGGCAGGTGGACTCTCAACCACTGTGCCACCAGGGCAGCCCCCAGAAAATCTTATTTTTTATTTAAGGAATATAGCCCTTACTATGTGCCAGGTACAAAGCCCTTCATTACCTCACTTAGTCCTTATGATGGGCTGAATTGTGTCCCTACCAAATTCATATGATGAGGTCCTAACTCCCAGTACCTCAGACTGTGACTGTTTGTGGAGGTCGGGTATTTAAAGAGGTGATTAAAATTAAATGAGGTCATTGGGGTGGGCCCTACTCCAATATGACTGGTATCCTTATAAGAGGAGGGGATTAGGGACTTCCCTGGTGGCGCAGGGGTTAAGAATCCGCCTGCCGATGCAGGGGACACCGGTTCGAGCCCTGGTCTGGGAAGATCCTACATGCCGCGGAGCATCTAAGCCTGTGCGCCGCAACAACTGAGCCTGAACTCTAGAGCCAGTGTGCCACAACTACTGAGCCTGTGCCCATGCTCCACAACAAGAGAAGCCACCGCAATGAGAAGACTGCGCACCGCAAGGAAGAGTAGCACCCACTGGCCGCAACGAGAGAAAAGTCTGCGTGCAGCAACGAAGACCCAACGCAGCCAAAAAAAAAAAGAGGAGGGGATTAGAACACAGACAGGCACAGAGGGATGACCATGTGAGGACAGGGGGAGAAAACAGCTGTCTGCAAGCCAAGGAGAGAGGCCCAGGAGACATCAACTCTGCTGATACCTTGATCTCAGACTTCTGGCTTCCAGAACTGTGAGCTAATATATGTTTTTCTTTAAACCGCCCAGCCTGTGGTACTTCGTAACGGTGGCCCCAGGAAATTAATACAAACCTTATAACAGCCCCGCATGGTAGGTACTGTTGTTGTTCCACTTACTGGTGCAGAAATTGAGGCACAGAGAGGTCAAGTAACTTGCTCAAGGTCACACACCCAGTTCGTGGTGCAACTGGAATTTTTATATAAAAACCTAACAGGTGGAAATGCAAATCAAAGTCAAAATGAGATACCACCTCACACCTGTCAGAATGGCTATTCTCCAAATGACAAAAAATAACAAGTGTTGGAGAGGAATTTTGGGGAAAAGAGAAGCCTCATGCACTGTTGGTGAGAATGTAAATTGGTGCAGCCACTATGGAAAACAGTATGGAGGGTCCTCAAAAAACTAAAAATAGAACTACCATATGATCCAGCAATCCCACTCCTGGGTATTTACCCGAAGATCACTAAATCAAGGGGTTTCCCTGATGGCGCAGTGGTTGGGAATCCGCCTGCCAGTGCAGGGGTCACGGGTTCGAGCCCTGGTCCGGGAAGATTCCCACATGCCGTGGAACAACTGGGCCCGTGAGCCACAGCTACTGAGCCCACGTGCCACAACTACTGAAGCCCGCATGCCTAGAGCCTGTGCTCCGCACCAAGAGAGGACACTGCAATGAGAGGCCAGCACACCACACCGAAGAGTAGCCCCCGCTCGCCACAACTAGAGAAAGCCTGCGTGCAGCAACAAAGACCCAGCGCAACCAAAAATAAATAAATAAATTTATTTTTAAAAAACCTACTAATTCGAAAAAATACATCTACCTCAATGTTCATAGCAGCATTATTTATAATAGTCAAGATACAAAGACAGGGCTTCCCTGGTGGCGCAGTGGTCGAGAGTCCACCTGCCGATGCAGGGGACACGGGTTCGTGCCCCAGTCTGGGAAGATCCCACATGCCGCGGACCGGCTGGGCCCGTGAGCCATGGCCACTGAACCTGCGCGTCCGGAGCCTGTGCTCCACAACGGGAGAGGCCACAACAGTGAGAGGCCTGCGTACCACAAAAAAAAAAAAAAAAAAAAAGATATAAAGACAACCTAAGTGCCCATCAATAGATGAATGGATAAAAATGGATAAAGAAGATGTGATACACACACACGCACACACACACACACACACACATACATACACACACACACACAATGGAATACTGCTCAGCCATAAAAAAGAATGAAGTCTTGCCATTTGCGACAATGAGGCTGGGCCTAGAGGTATTATGCTAAGTGAAATAAGTCAAAGACGAATACCATACGATTTCACTTATATGTGGAATCTAAAAAACAAAACAAATGAGCAAACATAACAAAACAAACAGACCCAGACACAGGGAACGAACAGGTGGTTGCCAGAAGGGAGGGATTGGGGGGATGAGTGAAATAGGTGAAGGGGATTTAGAGGTACAAGCTTCCAGTTACAAAATAAGTATCACCAGAATGAAATGTACAGCATAGGGAATATAGTCAATAATATTGTAATAACTTTGTATGGTGACAGATGGTAACCAGACTTGTGGTGATCATTTTGTAACGTATATAGTACATTAGAGTAATGTATACTATGTATATGTATAATCTAATGTACACTATGTTGTACACCTGAAACCAACACAACATTGTAAGTCAATTATGCTTCAATAAAAAAATCAACAAACATAACAGGACTTCCCTGGAGATCCAGTGGTTAAGACTCCGCGCTTCCACTGCAGGGGACGCGGGTTTGATCCCTGGTTGGGGAAGATCCCACATGCCGCACAGCATGGACAAAAAAAAAAAAAAAAAAAATCAACAAACATGACAAGTATGTACCGGCACACAGGCACTCAGAGTCATCAGTTCTCCCAGAAACAGATGGATAGAAGCATTCAGGCCAAGTGACTACTTTGGAGGTGACCCGGGGACAGGGAGAGGAGGCGAGAAGGAAGGCAATGGCAGGGCAGCACCGTGGGCACCGGGCCCTGAACCCCTGTGGGTGGTTCAGGAGATCAGGACAACACACTGCAGAGCCTTCCCTGAGGAGCAGGGACGCAGGCCTGTCACCACCAAACCTCTCCATCATGGTGGGCTGCTTTCCAGAGCGCCAAGCTGTACTCTGGACTTCCCCTGTGTGGACAGGACGGATGCGTGCCTGCAGCTGGGGGACTGCTGGGCGGGGGGCAGAGGGTGGCGCGGGGGTTCGAAGGCAGCACCTCTGCTGCAGAGGGGGAGCCGAGGGGATACGTGAGGGGCACCGACATGGCTGCTATGGCCTATGTTGTCATGCACTTATTATTATGACCCCTGTTGCATTTATTTTATTCCAATTAACTAATTAAATACCTTTTAATTGTGGTAAAATACACTAGCACAAAAGCTGCCATCTTAACCGAGCCGGCTCGACCATGGCAGCCGCCGCCGCGGCGAATCCGGCCCCTGCGCTCCCCGCCCGTCGCTGATCGGCCGTTAACCAGCCCGCCCGCTGGTCCCCCCGCCGGTGCCGCAGCGGCCCAGGCTTCGGACAAGTTTCCGCCGCCGGAGGCGAAGGCAGGGAGGACGGACGTGGGGAGTCGGGCGCCCCCGGCCCACTCGGCGCTCCCGCCCGCGATGTGGGGGCGCTTCCTGGCCCCGGAGGCCGGCGGCCGGGACAGCCCCGGCGGAGCCCGCAGCTTCCCGGCGGGCCCAGATTATTCTTCATCAGCATGGTTACCTGGTAATGAATCATTGTGGCAGGCCACAACTGTTCCATCTAACCAGCGAAATAACCATATCAGGAGACATAGTATAGCTTCTGACAGTGGTGACACTGGCATTGGAACTTCCTGTTCTGACAGTGTGGAAGATCATTCAACTTCAAGTGGCACATTATCTTTTAAGCCTAGTCGATCGTTGGTTACTCTTCCTACTGCCCATGTCATGCCATCTAACTCCAGCACTTCAGTTTCCAAACATAGGGAATCATTGACATCAGATGGCTCAAAATGGAGTATAAGCCTTATGCAAACATTGGGAAACCACAGTAGGGGAGAGCAGGACTCTTCACTAGACATGAAGGACTTCCGGCCTCTCCGGAAATGGTCATCTTTATCCAAACTCACTGTCCCAGGTAACTGCAGCCAGGGTGGCATTGTGCACCCAGAAGAGTCAAGGAGAGGTTTAGAAAAGACAGGGAGAGACAAGGCTTTAACATCACAACTAAGGACAATTGGACCTAGCTGTTTACATGACAGTATGGAGATGCTTAAGCTAGAGGACAAGGAAATAAATAAAAAACGACCATCAACTCTGGACAACAAATATAAATTTGAGAGCTGCAGCAAAGAGGACTTTAGAGCTTCTTCCTCCATTCCTAGGAGACAGGCCTTAGACATGACATATAGTGCCTTACCTGAAAGCAAGCCCGTTATGACAAGCTCAGAGGCTTTTGAACCGCCGAAATATTTAATGCTTGGTCAACAAGCAGTAGGTGGAGTTCCCATTCAGCCTTCTGTGAGGACGCAGATGTGGCTTACTGAGCAATTGCGGACAAACCCTTTGGAAGGTAGAACTACAGAGGACTCTCACAGTATAGCTCCTTGGCAGCAGCAGCAGATTGAAGGGTTTCGACATGAAACTGAAACACCAGTGCAGGTTTTGACTGGATCATCTCGTCAAAGTTATTCACCTCCTGGCTATCAAGATTTCAATAAGTGGGAATCAGTGCTGAAAATAAAAGAAGGACTACTAAGGCAGAAAGAAATTGTAATTGATCGGCAGAAGCAACAAATTACCCACCTGCATGAAAGAATAAGGGATAATGAATTACGAGCACAACATGCCATGTTAGGACATTACGTAAATTGTGAGGATTCTTATGTGGCTAGTTTGCAGCCACAATATGAGAATACTTCCCTCCAGACTCCATTTTCAGACCAGTCAACATCCCATTCCCAGCAAGAGGAGCTTGAGCAAAAGCTTGCATCTACTGAGAAAGAGGTTTTACAGCTCAATCAGTTTCTAAAGCAAAGGATAAGCCAATTTAGTGAAGAGAAGAAGAAACTGGAGGAAAAGCTTAAAACCAGAGATAGATACATCAGTAGCCTGAAAAAGAAGTGCCAGAAGGAATCTGAACAGAATAAAGAAAAGCAGAGAAGAATTGAGACCTTAGAAAAGTATCTGGCTGATCTTCCAACTCTTGATGATGTACAGTCAGAGTCTACAGCTGCAAGTTCTAGAAGAAAAAAACAAGAATTTGCAAGAGACTTTGATGGAAATGGAAAAAAGGCTTGAAGAGTTCAAAAAACAGTGTCAAGAAAATGAGGCACAGCTAATATGCCAGAAAAAGAAAGAAAAGGAGTTGGTAACTACAGTTCAGAGTTTGCAGCAAAAAGTAGAAAGATGCCTTGAAGATGGAATTCGCCTTCCCATGTTAGATGCAAAACAGCTTCAGAATGAAAATGATAACCTGAGAAAACAAAATGAGAATGCTAGTAAGATAATAGACCGCCAACAAGATGAGATTGACAGAATGATTTTAGAAATTCAGTCTATGCAAGGGAAGCTTTCTAAAGAAAAATTGACTACTCAAAAGATGATGGAAGAGCTGGAAAAGAAAGACAGAAACCTTCAGAGATTAAGAACATTGCTTGATAACCAAAGACAAACAGAAGAGACCTGCTCTTTATTGGATCAGGGCCAGGAAGCAGACCAATCCAGGCAGCAGACCATTCTTTCCAAAAGGCCACTATTTGATTTGAGTGTGATTGATCAGCTGTTCAAGGAAATGTCCTATTGTTTGTTGGACTTGAAGGCATTGTGTAGTATTCTTAATCAGCGTGCTCAGGGCAAAGAGCCTAATCTTTCATTATTACTGGGAATCCGATCAATGAACTGTTCAGCTGAAGAGACTGAGAATGACCACAGCCCAGAAACACTCACTAAAAAACTGTCAGATGTATGCCAGTTACGGAGGGACATAGATGAATTACGGACCACGATATCAGACCGCTATGCTCAGGACATGGGAGACAACTGTGTAACCCAGTGACCAGTGTTGGTCCCACAGCAATAACGACCCATTGTTACATGCTGCTGTGCTGGGTTCTTCACATTTCTTTTAGGAGCCATGATAGAAACTTGCAAGTGACATACGACTTGCACATAAGTATTTTTTTCTGTGGATTTGTTCTGTTGGGGAGGAATTGGGATGTGAGGAAGTATCGAAGGGGCTTATCTAATCAGGAAAAAAATTAAATTACCATTTGAAAAATATGAAGAAAAAAAAAAAAGCTGCCATCTTAACCATTTCTAATGGTTCAGCGATGTTAGGAATATCCACATTGTTGTGCCATCACCTAATCGCCACCGTAATCTCCAGAACTCTTCATCCTGTAAAACTGACACTGTCCCCTCCCCCAGCCCCCGGCACCCACCCTTACACTGTCTGCCTCTATGAATGTGATATTGTAGGGACCTCATCCAAGTGGAATCATACAGTATTTGCCCTTTTGTGAGTGGCTTATTCCACTCAGCATAATGGCCTCAAAGTTCATCCATGCTGTAGCAGGTGCCAGCATCTCCTTCCTTTTTAAGGCTGAATACTATTCCATTGTACTGGTACGCCCCATCTGTCAGTGGACATTTGGGTTGCTTCCATCTATTGGCTATTGTGAATAATGCTGCTATGAACATAGGTGTACAAGACCCTGCTTTCAATTCTTTTTTTTTCTCTTTGGCTGCACGGCATGGCATGTGAGATCTTAGTTCCCCGACCAGGGATCGAACCCATGCCCCCTGCAGAGGAAGTGTGGATTCTTAACCACTGGACTACCAGGGAAGTCCCCCTGCTTTCTTTTTTTTTTTAATTTTCAAATTATTTATTTATTTATTTTTGGCTGCATTGGGTCTTCGTTGCTGCTTGCAGTCTTTCTCTAGTTGCAGAGAGTGGGGGCTACTCCTCGTCGTGGTACGCAGGCTTCTCATTGCGGTGGCTTCTCTTGTTGCGGAGCATGGGCTCTAGTTGCGTGGGCTCTAGTAGTTGTGGCCCACGGGCTTAGTTGCTCCGCGGCATGTGGGATCCTCCCAGACCAGGGATCAAACCCGTGCCCCCTGCATTGGCAGGAGGACTCCTAACCACTGCGCCACCAGGGAAGCCCTGCTTTCAATTCTTTTGGGCACAGACCCAGAAGTGGAGTTGCTGGTTCATGTGGCCATTCTAATTTTAATGTTTTGAGGAACTGCCATAATGTTTTCCATAGCAGCTGCACCATTTTACATTCCCAGCAATGGTGCACGAGGGTTTTATTTTACTTTTTGACACACGCAGCATCGTATGCGTCCACTGCTCCGTCCGTTCACTTGTCACCTAACACATGCCGGTTTTCCTTATCTGCCCAGACAGACCTCACTCTGTCTTCTCACGCTCAGCCCTGTGACATCCTGTCTTATCTACCTCGTCCCCTGCTCACGGACGTTCACATCCTTTCTCATCTGTCATGACTGGCACAAACATGGCTGAATGGAACAACGGTGGGTAGGAGCCTTTTTACAAGTCTCTGGGGTAAATTCCTGGAAGGATTAAAATTCTTGGGTCACTTGACATTTTGATAGATGTAGTCTGATGGCCTCCCCAAAAGACGCTCCCCCCGGCCCCTGCCCAGCTGTGGGTGTTTCTTTATGCTTTTCCCAACGTGGATAGAATCACTCTTGAAGCTTCTTGCCAAGCTGAGAGGTGAGAACCCGGGTCCTACGTGTGTTGGTGTGTGCCATCAGCACTGTGCTCGGGTTAGTCTGCTAACTGGGAACACAGGGTGTCTGGTCCAGGGGGCTCCTGCCTGCTGGGCTTCCTCCTTTCCCAAAGCACCACTGGCAGATTTGAGGGGTGTAAATAAAAACCTCATACATCTCCCAGGGCTCCAGATAAAGTCTCATCAAAGAGCTGGTAACCAGAACTTCCCTGGTGGTGCAGTGGTTAAGAATCCGCCTGCCAATGCAGGGGACACGGGTTCGAGCCCTGGTCTGGGAAGATCCCACATGCCTCCGAGCAACTAAGCCCATGCGCCACAACTACTGAGCCTGCGCTCTAGAGCCCGTGAGCCACAACTACTGAGCCCATGTGCCACAACTACTGAAGCCTGCATGTCTAGAGCCAGTGCCCTGCAACAAGAGTAGTCACTGAATAAGAAGTCAGTGCACCACAACTAAGAGTAGCCCCCGCTCGCTGCAACTAGAGAAAGCCCGTGCGCAGCAACAAAGACCCAACACAGCCAAAAATAAAAATAAAATAAATTTATTTTAAAAAAAAAAGAAAAAAAGAGAAAGAGCTGGTAATCAAGGAGGCCCTGGGTCCCTGCAGCTCCAGATGTGCTCAAGGGGGCTCCAAGGTGGCTGATGGTCAGCCAGTCCCCTCACTCACGTGGGCCAAGGTCCTCCCCACAGAGGCTGTCCTCTTTGAGGGTGTAGGCTGTGCCCTGTCTGGCTCCCTTCCCCTTCTGTTTATTTTTTTCACTCTTTTTTTGTGTGTGTTTCTTTGTTTTGGATAGTTTCTATTGCTGTCTTCAAGTTCAGTAACTTTTTTTTTTTCTTTTTTCCCCTGTAGCATCTAATCTGTTATTAATTCCACACAGGGTATTTTTTTAAAAATATAAAACATTGTATACTTTCATCTTTAGAAGTTTAATTTGGGTGGGTTTCCTCCCACCCTTTTTTTTATCATGCTCATGTCTTCTTTTGCCTTCTTGAGGGAATCGATTTACATCTATCTATAACAGCTGTTTTAATGTCCTTGTCTACTAACTGTATCTTCTTGCTTCTAGTGATAGATTTTCTTCCATCCTTAATATGGGTTGTATTTTCCTGCTTCATTGCCTGCCTTGTAATTTTTGATCCGATGACAGATATTTAGATTTTCATGTTGTTGTATGCTGGATTTCTTTTCTCTCTTTTTAAAAATATTTTAATTAATTAATTAATTTTTGGCTGTGTTGGGTCTTAGTTGTGGCAGTCAGGCTTCTCTCTAGTTGTGGCATGTGGGCTACCTAGTTGTGGCATGCAGGCTCTCTAGTTGTGACATGGGCTTAGTGGCCCTGTGGCATGTGGGATCTTAGTTCCCTGACAAGGGGTCGAACCCGCGTCCCCTGCGTTGGAAGGTGGATTCTTAACCGCTGGACCACCAGGGAAGTCCGAATTTCTTTTCTTTGTGTTTCTTTTAATGTCTGTTAGCTTCACATGTTTTTGCTCTGGGTTGAAGTTAAAGTACTTGGAACAGCTTGATCGTTTGGAGGCTTGCTTTTAAGTTTGGGGCCAAAGCAGCCCTTCAGCCTTTCATGCCCACTATGGCGGCGACATCTTTCTGAGAATTCTAGCCCTGATCCATGCACTTAGATTCTTTGCTCTGCTGTGGGGAACATGAACTATTCCCAGTGCCGTGTGGCCTTTGTGGGTCGTTTAGTCTGCTTCTTTCTGCTGGTTATTTCCTGGCCTGGCACCGGGTCCTCACATGCATTAACTCGTCAATTGCCAGCTGAAGACAGAGGAGGCCCCTCTGCAGATCCCTAGAGCAGCTCTCCCCTCTTTTCTGCTCTTTTGCTCTGCGGATTCTCGGTCTCACCAAATTCTCAACTCTCCTCAACTCTGGGAGTCCACTGGTCTCCCTCCGCCAGGGCTTCCTGTTCCTGTGCTGCAGCCTGGACAACTCTCTCCAGAAAGGAGGCTGGGAAATTGTAGAGTTCACCTCATTTGTTTCTCTTGTCTCAGGGGTCACTGACTTTGCTCCTGTTGTCCACTGTCTGAAGACTATTGTTTCATATATTTTGTCTGATTTTTTAGTTACTTAAGGGGGAAGGGTGAATCCAGTCATCCTTGTTACTCCACATGGCCAGAAGTGGTATTTCTCCCCTCCCTCCCTCCTCCTTCCCCTTTTTGTTAAGTAACAGCTTTATTGTGTGATAATTCACATACCATAAATTCATCACCTCAAAATGAAAGACTGTAGGGACTTCCCTGGCGGCCCAGTGGTTAAGACTCTTCGCTCCAAATGCAGAGGGCATGCACTCTTTTTTTTTTGGCACGCACTCTTTAGCTGTCACCCCCTATCCCTCCATGGCCCCCTCCAACCCTGAGCAACCACTAATCTACTTTTTGTCTCTATAGGTTTGCTGATTCATATAAATGAAATCACACAATCTGCAGCCTTTTGTGTTTGGCTTCTTTCACTTAGCATAATGCTGTCAAGATTCATCCACATTGTCGGAGGTGTCAGGACTTCTTTCTTGTATGGCCAGATGATATCCCATTGTATGGAGAGACCCCATTTTGTTTATCCGTTCATCAGATGATGGACATTTGGATTGTTTCCACTTTTTGGCTATTTATGAATAATGCTAAATTATCATTGTTTTAAACACATTCTAGGGAAACATGTCTGTAGATTTATAACCCCAGCTCTTGATATCTGCACCATCAGGACACCTGTAAAACCCCAGCCCATTAGAGCAGGGAGGGCTTTTCAGGCTACCCAGCCAACCCCTCCACTTCACAGATGGGGGAATGGATGCTCCAGCTGGCAGGTGACTTGCCCACCATACCAGCAGTGGAAGGAACACTCACGCACATTTTCGGATCCTAAAAACAATGAAGGTAACAGTTGCGTGGCTCCTGTGGGTCGGGCTGCATCTTCACATACACTATCTCATTTGATGCCCTACATCCCCCTTCTGAGGTGGGTCTTTTTATCCTCATTTCACAGATCTCTTCTTCCAACAGTTATTGCCTGAGCACCCCAGACCCTGAACTGGTGCTGGAGATGTTGAGCTGGGCAGAATGGTGCTCCTGGGATTTCAGGGAGGCAGGCACTGTGGAAAATATTCCAAAGGTAGGGAATCAATCAAAGATGGTTAGTGCCTCATGAGGATAGAGGTCAGGGGACTGGGCTGTGTCTCAGAGGCAGGAAATGGCAGAGCTGGGTAGGAACGCCCAGCTTTAAGGTTGCTCTAGGCTTCCTTTTTGGCCTTACTCCCCATCAGAAGGGAGAGAAAGGATATGTCTGTGGGGGAGGTGTCAGCTTCCCCGAGGTCTGAGGCTGTGAGCAGGCTTGGCCCCCAGGGTGCCTGGGACAGGGGCAGCCGGGCCTCCAGCAGGTCGCCGAGATGTGCCTCTGCCTGCAC